TATATATATATAATTTAAAATGATGCTTTTCACATCTAAGAGACACCTTGGCTTCTCACTGATAACTCTGTTTGCCGTCTCACTTTCCAGCCCTGCATTCAGCAACTTCATTTTTCACTTACCAGTAAGCGTGAGCCATTACGGAGCCCCTCCAGGGGACATGGGATTTCTTTTCCTTTTGCGTTCCCTCTAGGGTTGCCACCTTTCAGAACTCAAAATGAGGGACGCCCACCACGGCGCATCGTCCAATTCTCATGGGGTTGGATGTCCGCTGCAGTGATAAACAATATTTTATGGCAGTGTTTTTAATCTTTAAATCGTTCTTGGATAGAGGTCAGTTAGAGTACTCCAAAACTGTACTCCAATCAGAGTAGTATACTTTAAATATGTTTAATTAAGCAAGTGTAAAAAGTATTTGGTAAACTGATCATAACAGATGATTTAATATTCAAAATGTGTCCTCAGACAACTAAAATATAAAAGTTATATGAACATTCTGATATTTTACAGAGTATTACCAAAATATTTATATAAATAAGGGGTTAGGTTTGGAGGCTGGTTGTGGACCAGATTTACCACCAGGGCCAGGTAGTTTTTCATGGCAACACTTGAAAAAGAATGAAAAAAATAAATAAAAAAATAAAAAAATAAGAGAGCAATATTTCATCATTTGATATAATAAGTGAGCCAAAGACCCACTTGCGTCTTCAGAGGTTCAGTTTGCAGATCCCTGGCGGATAGAAAATATGATCCTATCTCCATACAGCAGCTAAAAGTGCAGCACTACAATTTTTTATTCATTGTTAAAGTAAAATTGTGAAGGTTAAAAAAAAATCCGCCAATGAGTATTAACATAAGACATTTATTTAGTATAACTTCTTTGGTACCCTGTTGGCCCCCATCTAGAACTGCCCCTGGGCTGCAGGTCTGTGTCTGGTGCATTAATGACCACTGAACAATGAATTCATAAAATATATAAACATTTCAAAATAAAACCTACAGAAAGCCCTAACAAACCTTTTAAAGTAGGAAGTATTTACGTATTTACTGTTAATCTAATGTATGCTTTGTTCTTTAAATTATCATTTGTATTATTTTTGCTGATATTATACATTAAATAAGCAAATAATCAAATCAATATAGTCTACTAAAAGCACAATAAAAAACTTAATCATAGCAAAAATGTTACCTCTCTGCTGTGTTCCTCTCCTGATCTATTCTGTCTAGCATCACACTGCGCCACGATGGACACTTTTTTTTAATTGCCTGTGTTCATCCTCACTGACATTATTCAGCCTGGGATTTGCGTCGTCCTTCTCACGTCTGTATCTTTACTAGAGGTTTTGCTCTAAGGACGGTGGAGAATCGGGTCGAGGATGTTTTAAAAAGAGGCGGGTTGACAGCACCTCACTGCGGCTGCGTAGTGACCGTCTCTAGGCAACCGTGAAAACAGCGTCGGTTCGAATCGTTCAGGGGTCCTTTACCTCCCGCAACGAGAATTTAGCTGACCTTAATATTTCCTGTGTTTTATTTTGGTCATTATTGTTACACTTAGTGTTGATATGTGTGTGTTGGGCGTGTCTATGGGACATTTCTAGAAATACGGAACAAATCGCGTCCCGTATCGGTTCAATATGGGACGCAACATTTAACAGCCAAATACGGGACGATTCCGTATTTTAAGGGACGGGTGGCAACCCTAAAAGTGAAGTCAGGCCTGACCTCACTGTCACAGTTTAAAACAACTATTTTTTTCAGAGTTCTACCACCTCATCACTACAATCTGAGTATATTTATAATAATATCTAACCCTCAAATAGCTAAACTCACACTGGTTACAGATTATTCTGGCCAGAATAATTGCGCTGTCGTCCCCTGCGGTCACAGAACATGATGGGTCACAAATTTTTCTGTAGCACTTCTTTATTGACTCAGTTACTTTGGCTGCAGATGCTGGTTTTCTTCTGTTAGCTTTTTGCCCACAAAATGAGAAAATGTGTTTTAACAGAGGAAAAAATAAGGACATCTTAACCAATTAGTTAGTTTTACCCCGTTTCTTCCATCAGAATTATAGATTATGAGCTTTGCTTACTTTTTTTTTAAGCACACCTTATTCTAAGGAGTTTTAAAAGAAAATTACAAAAAAAGATTAAAGACTAACGGAAGCCCCTGAGGAAAAGATGAAGTTATAATCATACATGTTTTTATAGCACACTGTTCCTTTAATTGCTTGCCTCCGATGGGAAAGCTCTCACTGCTTCATGGTTGAATGGCCGTTTACACACTCGCTATGATTAGATCTGCTGTGAAACTGATATAGCCACTTTATATTTGCAGAGTGTTTAAAAGAAGGACTAGGTTTACCGTTACGAGTCATTACACACAACATTACGAGCATTCATGAGCCGGAGAGCCTCTATTCTCAGATATGGTGACGTGACGGGCGCAGTGGGCCAAAAATCTTGCCGCTCCCCATGAAGTCTATTGAGTGGGAGAAGGAAGGGGAGTGAGCAGACTGGGGCCTTCTAAAAAAAAAAAAAAACATGAAGAAAAGTTAATGCAATACAGAGTATTACGTTTGTACATGGGTAGCCCTTTACAGTAAAAAGATGTGATTAGCTACAGGGGTTGTGGGGGGTCCTGCCAGTAAGTCATTCAAGCTCTTGTGTATTCAGTAGCAACTGGATAACATCTAATGGAATTGTTCTGCTGGTGTTAGCATGGTATATCAAATGCAAAGTCCAATAGTACATGTACATTTGATACCCTATTAGGTGTTAATAACTAAGGATTAGCAATACAGGGAATCATCTAGATGAGTTAGAGGCAAGTTCAGAAAGTAAATTCTTTGATATGAGAGATGTTTCAGAATGATGCGACACGTTGTTGTTGGAAGATGATGCATATTTTTTGGTGAATTTTAGCAAATAGAACAGACCACGACAATATTCTGGTTAACCAGCTAATACAGAGGGTTTAAATCATTGGCTACCGAGAAATAATTTCTTGCTGGAGGAGTGGACGCTGTTTAAGCTTTAAACAATTGGACCTGATTGGATTGCTAACATTTGGCAGTGACGAATATACTTAGCTAGCTCAAACGTGAAGGAAGCTTTGCTGTGCAGCATGTCAGAAATCGTGTGCGCTGTAAAAACCATCCCTCACCGTGAAGAGAGAAGTGTGGAGTTGAATGTCATCTTTGCTAGCAATGTGCTAGCGTGTCCAACACCGACTGAATGACTTTGTTCACTTCCTCTGCTGCCATTTCCAAACTACAACTGACAGCAGACGACAGCACAGAAAATCATTGTTTACAACTCCTACTTCTGTTTGCTGATTGGTCCAGTTGAAATTCTAATGAAAAAAAAAAAATCAAACTCAATGGGAGAAATCCCAGACGGAGAAGTGAAGGGAGATAAGTTAGCTAAACTGCATGGGAAGACGATGTCTAGGCTTGTTTACCAAGGCTTTGGTGTGTTCTAAACTGCTGCAGATTGTGTGTGTGTCTCTGAGGGCATCTTAGTTTGCCTGATGATAGTACAACTTCTCAACAAAACACATTGGAGTACCGCCAGTACTCAAAAAATGTACTTAAGTAAAAGTACAAATACACAGACAAAAATGTACTCAAGTAAAAGTAAAACTACCACATTAACATTTGTACTTAAGTAAAAGTAAAAAAGTACTGGCTTTTAAAAATACTTAAGTATTAAAAGTAAAAGTACTTGCTGAATGCATTGCCTAATTCCTAATACACTATCATTAAGTGAACCGATCGTATTTAATTTTAATACATTAAAAATGTGCCATTTTAATGAGCAATACCACAGATAAAGCATGTTTTTATTGTGTTTACTCTCTGTAACATAGTTTTAGACTTACTGATTCTATGCATCATAATTTCAGGGATGGAAACATCTTGTCTCCTGTCCTAACATAGCATGAACTTCACTTTTTTTTGCCCCTAGTGGCTTTTATTTTGAAAGAAATCCAACAGAAAGGGGATGGAAAGAAGGTGGGTGAGGGAGGACATGCAACCAAGGAGCCACGTAGCAGAGTTGTAGTCAAGACCAGCACCCGGCGCTACGTGACACAAAAAAATTAAGTTTTACCTATCAAAATTGCTTCTCAATTTGATTCCCATAAAACACCTAGATATTAAATACTTAGAGTTGAAATAAATTTAATCAGTAAAGATCCGCCCAAAAGAATCGGATCGTTCCTGAATGTCAT